CTATTATTGTTGTTCTGTAACAGGAATAATTTAAAGGGATATCTTTCCCTTCAATTTTTTTCGTCTGCAAATCTGATTTTATAAGAAAATATCGCATTAAACGGTTACACAACCCGAATGATTATGTGACACAAAAGTGCGCGTCATTTAAATAATAAAAAGTTTAACGCGTCATGCCCACGACAGCACACGCTATAAAATAAGTTTCTTTTCTCCTTTTTGAGAAAAAAGAAGAAGAAAGTTACTACGTCATGTCCTCGCTTCAATCCCAAACAAAGTTTGACATTAATTGACTGAGACCAAACTTTCTATCAAACTAAATTGTTGAGACGTAATATGTTATGCTCTTGCATATAAAATAGTTGACATCATGTAAAGTTTTCCCTGAATTTGAGGCTTTTCATAGCAGACAACTTCTTGCCTAAGGAGCTGGAAGTGTTTGAATATACATAAAGAATAGGGACCTTTCGAAGTTCAATGCGAAGTAGTAGAGTTTGACAAATCATTTTAGTTTAAAATTGAGGAATTTTCAAAAATCTATATTGTTTAGTGGCTATTAACTTCTTGTAGCTACCATATACATAATTACTTCATATAGTTACTATTTAGTTGTTACGTGACTGTATTCATTGTATTTGCGCTACTGTATGGGAGTGATTGTATTCGCGCCGAATTCACCTAAACCAATTCACGTCCCAAAAGTTAAATGCATAATGCGAATAATCGAAATTTATTGACCTATGTTCATCCTTTGAGCGATCTGTTTTTCTCCTCTTTTGGTTTCTCACCTTGGTTTTGTAATCCTTTACAAATTTCTTTTTAGCCTTGTGTCTTTTTTTAATAAAAGATCTTATTTGTACATATAATAGATTTGAAAATAATGCACAAGAGAGTTACCCGATCATTTTCTTCTATTCAAATTGTAAGTGTGCATAGGAGCCATTTCCTCCTCTCTTTTTCTCCGCAAAGACCATTCAACTTCACTCATTTGGCAGTTCTCTACCGTAATAAAGCATGGGAAATAAAATTTCTAAAACTTGGCTACTTTGTCGAGCAATGAATGAATAAACACTTGGACAAGTTCGTACAACTTTAAACACCATATAAATTCATTGATGATAGTGATAAATTTCATCATAAATGATATATTCGTGTACAAAAATCATCGTAAAGGCGTAATTGAGCTTCAACAGGAAACAAGCTGAGTAGGAGAAAGGCCATCAAGTCACTGTCCCAGAATACAGAAGCTCTATCATACACAAAATTCAATGTTCTATACAACCAACGACAGCTCGTGCCTCTTCTGAACCAACGTCTAGGATATTTAAACTTTCAGGAATATCGACAAACCCGAGATAAGGACAGTTCTTCGATGTGAGGAGATTGAACCTATCAGCTTTGTGTTCAATTCTGCGATGCAATCATGTGGTCACCGCATCTGGCACTAGCAGCAGTCCCATAGCTGGGACATATGCTTATGGATGTTGATGGCACGAGCTGGTGAATCTGGCACTAGCAGCAGTGCCATAGCTATTTAAAAGCAAGCAAATGCTCACATAAAGTTATCTAAGATCAACTTCTTTAATTCCTCCATTTTCTGAATTATTTTAGGGTTCATCAAATCCCTGGCTTCTTTTATAAGAGTGCCTTCTCTACTGAAATTATATGCATCCACCACTGTCCCAATCCAGTTGTATAGCTGCTCTGGAGTCCTGTAAGGATCAGGGATTTATTAATAACAGTTAAAAGTGAATATGGAAAAAAAAACAAAATGAAAGGGAAAGGCAAAGCCTCCAAAATATGTAAAATTTCAGAACAATATACATCTGATAGAAGTGCTTCCACGTCAAGGCAACGGGTTAAAGATACTTCATGAATGCTGTGAGAAATTCAATGTAAAGAGAATAATGATTAGATATTAGATTCAATACATACGTGTATAAGCAATCTACATCTTTCCCTTCAAGTTCTTCTCCCGGTGTGAATGCATCTTTCAAAGTGCACAATCGCTCCTCAGGATCCTCAATTGTGAGTAGATATTTTAGAATTCTGATTTCTTTTGGCATAAGCCTCTGAAGATTTCCTCGTGCTGTCATATACAAGTGATAAAGGACATCCTTTACCTGAAAAAAGCAAAAAAAGATTTGACAAGCCTAACCATTTGCATGTTAGAAAAATGAATTCCACATTGCGAGGGGGGGAGGGGGAGTAGCCAACCTGTGCTGAAATATCAAACTTGTATAGAAATGGCATCTGGCCTTGTGAAAGTTCCATAAAAACAATAGAGATTGAAAAGCGAAGTCATGTAACTTGGATAAGAACAGCCAAATGAATATTATCTTTTACAGCTACAGCTAGGTCTATCTATCCTGAAATCCTAAGACATTAATCTACCACATCTAAGATGCAGACTCTGCTATGCTACCTGTAAAATTCCAATAGTAACTTCAACATAAAGGCATTCCAACAATAAGTTCTCTTCAAANGTCCTGAAATCCAAAGACATTAAACTACCACATCTAAGATGCAGACCCTGTATGCTACCTGTAAAATTCTAATTGTAACTTCAACATAAAGGCATTCCAACAATAAGTTCTCTTCAAATGCAAGATGATATAAGCTAGGTCACAAGAGTAAAGCAGCTTGGTGCATGAGCTCACAGAAGCTACTACCAATGCACTATCTTAAGAGTTTAAAATGTACATAAGCATTTTAGTCAACGTGGAAAATACCAATCACTATTCCACCATACCAATTCCAGATACGATAATCTTAGCTTGTGGCACTAGGTTACTAACGTTCACATTCTTTAGCAAAATCATGCAACATTTGCTAATCATCATCTTTAGCACTATTGTATTAAATAATGAGAAAAACTCTCATCATTCATATCAATTAGTCATAAATATTTTGTCAGCTTTGCCCCGAACTTCTTTGTTTCTATAGCCTCACCAGTGGAGAGCCAAGGACACTTCAGAATTGAGAAGAAAATTTTCCAACAAAATCTCAAGTAGCTCCCAAAACAATATTGTTTGGATATCACTAAAACGTGTCATTTTGAATACTATCACCTCGGTACGCATCTCTCTTCTTAATTAAGTTAATGCTAAGACAGAGAAAAATTACTGCAAGAAGTGACGTATGGATGTGTATCTGAAGAAAAGAATGATCTTGCCTCGTCTTTTGTCATGTCCGACTCCTTAGCTGTTGACCATACTTTCGTTATCATGAGCACCAGTGCTGAATCAAGTTGATTTTTCTGGGCCAGATCATCTATTTTCTTGCAAGACACATCCACTGATGGAGAATTTATTATATCTTGGAATTTCAACTCTGCAGCATTTAACGCTTCTATACTTTCAGTTGCCGTATCATAAGCTTGCACAGCCACCAAACACGTATTCCCTAGTTTTGCCACAGCTAATTATTAAGAAAAAGGAAGATTTTGTCAGTGAAACCTATCAACAGCAGATAAACAATTATGAAAATCAAGGAAATGATGTTTGTGAACTCGTGGTGTTTAATTTCTAAATTTACAGCAAGAGAAACTTCACAGTCCCAAAGTCAAAGGTTCTCCAAAGCTTCTTCTATCTCATTGTACATTATATTGTAGCATTTGTTTTCAAAGGCAAGAGAGAAATTCTTTTAGTTGATATTTTACTCACTTCTTTCCATTGGTCCTTTGGGGTCACTTCACATGTGCAAGGTTGTGGGTAAGAGTAAACGATTTCATATATGGGAAACAACATTTCTAGAGTGTATATTTTGCAAAAAGGAAAAGAGTGTCTTAATGCAGAAAACAAACCGAAAGTTATTAGCATAAATATGCAAACAGAAGAACCACATTTATTTCTTTCCGATGGATCATCATAATAGGATTCTGCTACAGTGTGAAGATGAGCAAAAAACTCTTTTGTAAAATCTTTACGACGCCTGGCAACAATATCACCAACCTCGGATGGTGACCGTCTGATTACCTCAAGAAGTTCGTTATGCCTCTGAACATCATTATCAACCTAGAAAAGAAAGTTACTGGTTGAAGTTCAATAGAAAACATACCAAGCGCAAATGAAATCTAGAATTTGTATCTTAACATGAGAGAAATACCGTAAGAAATCCACTAATAATCCTTAAATTATCCTCAATCCTTTGACCCGTAACATGTAAATTGATCATAGAAGTTCACCTCAGCCCAATGTACTGCAATTAGCAAAGACTAGACATAAAATAATTGATTAGTTTGAGTATTTATGATTCAACTGAGCCCTTGCTTGGACTTCCTTAAAGAGGGACCTCATTTAAACACAACATAATAACATCTGGACTTGTCATGGAGAATTGAAACTATTCCAAAACAAGTTTGACATAATTGGGTCTCTTTGGAAAATGAAAGCAGTTACTAAGTCATGATCTGGCACGTACAGAATGAAAACTTCATGCTCGCAAAGGCGCTAGTCTCATCTTTCATTGAAGCCTGAGTAGCTTGTGCTTCATTCCAGGATCACTCTCACTTTCTGCTCGATTCTGACACCGATTATAGAAGTGGGGCCGGATATTGTTCCATTCTTTACTAAATGCTAGTAATCTTCTCCAATCAGTAGGATTGGGCTTGTCAACCAAGAAGACATCAATTAATTTGTCGCATACTCGGATCATTTTATTCTCATCCAACCCTTCAGAAGGATCTCTCCTGTCTTCTCCATTTTCCATATCAGTTTCTTGACTAGTAACTGAAACAGATAGCTTCACAGAGGGAATTTGCTCGTTAACAGCACCATTTGGTACTGCAGTTGTATCACCCATTACAGCGGCAAGACATGACTGTCGCAACCTCACCCCATTCAGAGATAAGAGAGAACCTAACAATTTGACAAACATCATTATTATCCAAATGGCTTCATAGAACCAATAGGCAAATTCTACTACTCTCTCTATCCCATTTTATGTGAAATTTGACTAATCACAGCGTTTAAGCTGTTAATCTGACTTATTTATTATAATATTAGTGATAGTGGAAGGAAATTATTAAGGGCTTGTTAGTTGCAAATAATCTTACATAATTTTGCAAGTTGAAGTGAAAGAATTTGAACCCAGTGGCTCGAATGTATATTTCAACTCAAATAAAGTTTTCCCAACTTCCATTCATAAATGTGCAACTTTTGCGAAACTTTTTTTTTTTTTTTTTTTTTTTTTTTTTTTTTTTTTTTTTTTTGCAACTATCCAAACACAACTTCATACTTCCGCAAAGTTTTTCAACTTCAACTTCAACTCGAATTTTGTCCAAGGGAATACTAATTACAAGTTCAAAAACTTAGTTTGATAGAAATAAATTAGATCTAAGCTAAAATTTTAAATAGGTAGATGAATTAGAGTTCTGGAAGTTATATAAAATAACATTCATAATAGAAATTTTTACATGCATTTTTGGTGGAAAGAGTGTGAGGAGTAATGAGCTAACAGAAATCAATTGAAAAATTCTCCAAGTTGCAGAAGCACAAAAAAAAAATGCTAACATTTGGCAGAATAAGTATTGGTGGCTGGAAGAAAGTTTCTTACCTACGGAATTAGCTCCGGCGAGGTGCAGTTGACGTTGTCGTTGAATTGGATATTTGGATAAGCGAGACAGGCGGAAGAGGAGAGAAGTTTCTAGAAGTAGAAGTGGACGGCCGTACAGAGAAGGCATAGCAAGGGCAATACAAGCTGCTAACTCCATTCAACAATACAATCCCCAATTCCTTTTTCTCCTTTTTCTGTTAGATATTTTAGGGTTTATAATGCCAAGAATAAAAAAGAGATGAAATTGAGAGGGAATGCTCAACTTGCTTACAAGGAATAAGTTTTCCTAATAAGAAAGCACGAGAAAGAACCAGAAAATGACCAAAATTACGGACGCAGGATATGTCAAAATTCGGACTAATACATGCAGAATTATAATATCGAGATTATTTTTATTAGATTTTGATTCTTTTTGTATTAAAAATTAGTAGCCAGTGTGTGACTAAAAATAGGTTTTCTAACAGTCCACTCTTCTAACCCTCCCCCCTAAAAAAAAGATTGATTACTATGTTAGAGATATTTTTGTCAATTTAGTTATTTAATTCATATACTACTAATATTCCTATTTTTATTCCACATTATTATTTTCTGCACGAATAAATATTGCTCCCTCCGTTCACTTTTATTTATCCATAATTGACTTTGCACATCCCTTAAGAATTAATCGATGAAGTGCATATTTTACCATAGTACCATAATAATGATAGTATTTGAGAAGTCTTGGAAAATAATTTGTGAAATGAGTAATTAATGATAAGAGAAAAACAGAAAGAAAAAAATAAAGTGACAAGTAAAAGTAAAAATATATTTTTTGTATAATGGACAACTAAAAGTAGAGAAATGGAGTACATAAATGTTCTCACAATTTATAATTATTTGATTATGCCTCGCATCTCTCTCTCTATATATATATAAAGTAGGGGCTCAGGCAAGGTGATGTGGCAATCTCTTGGACAAGGAAACCTCCTTATCTTTTTTCTCCTTTTTTTGCTATTTTCCCATATATTCCTTTTATGTGCTAATTATTATAAAACCCGAAAAGTCACGTCTATTAAATAGCCTTAATTACATTTACGCCTTTTCCTCATCTTTTGTTCTTTAATACGCCTTTTTCTTCTTTTGTTCTTTATTTTAATGAGTTACGTCTTTTCTATTGGCAAAAAAGTAACGCCTTTTTTCCTTTCTTCAGTCTAATTTATTTGTGTGGAACGACAGAAGCAAAGCTAAGCCAATTCTCTACCACCACTTTACGGCAAAAGGCTTCAGTCTAATTTAGTTGTATGGAATGAGAGACGCAAACCTAAGCCAATTCTCTACCGCCATTTAACTGTAGAAGGCCACAATATGAAAGGTAGGATTTGTACTTTTCCTGTTTTCTTGGTTCTCAAGATAGAAAGTATGATAAATCTCCAAAATTGTGGATTTTCTTTTAAGAGATCTTATAGTTAGATTTTTTTACAATAAGTTTTATGTTTTCTCGGTTATAGTATCTAGCGAATTTGAAATTTTATTATTGTCGACAATAAATTGCATTTACATAACATTCTTATGCTGAGCTTATGTTGTTTATTTTCTCTTGCACCAGTTAATAGAAAAACTGCAGTGTATACAAAACATTGCCATTTTTCATCTATGCTAATTATTTGTTTGGTCACATATGTATAGAATGCGAATTGGAAAGAAAAAGTTCATTAACCCTCTTACACTCTAATGCTGAACTATCAACAAAAGTTTTGCTTACGTTAAGGTAAACCTTAATTTCGTCTGCTCCAAATTTATCTCTAGGCTATACCGTGTGTTCTCAAATCTGAAAAATATTTACAAATATATAATATTTTTTGTTACTTATTTTAGTATCAATTTTGTTTATTCCAGATAAAAGGCAAGACTCTTGGTTTTACAAATATATAATATATTTTTGTTACTTATTTTTGTACTATCAATTTTGCTTATTCCAAATAAAAGGGAAGACTCTTGGTTTTACAAATATATAATATATTTTTTGTTACTTATTTAAGTAATGTCAGTTTTGCTTATTCCATATATATGGTATGTATCCTCCAATAACATCATTTCAGTTATTTTAAATTTTGTGTTCAAAGGGCAAGAAGGGTGGTATTCCTTATGATTTTGTTGGCTAATCAAAAGTTTGTATTTCATTTATATATTTGTATGTAAATCATGTCCTTTTCCTCGTTTTTTCCACTTATGTACTTGAAGAAAAAAACATTAACAATCATGTCTTTTAAACTTTTTAATTAACTTCTCTTTTCCTCTTCTGAGAGTCATGCCTTTTAATCTCCACAAAAGGTTTACCTCTTTTAAAATTGTAGTGGTGTTAGTCATTTTAAGATTGATGAGATTATTCTCATAGTGTGCTTAATTTTCTTTTTGCTATTGTTAATCAGAATATATCCTTCATTCATTACTTTGTGCTTATTGGACTGTAACTCTTTGTGATTGTAAATTTCTTTATTTTTATTTCGGATCCATATATATTGATATTCGACATGTTCAATTGGAAAAGACTAATTTTTTTGACATGTTTTGGTCATTCGTGCGAGTATACTATTTTTGTAGTGTGCATTTATTCCTTTAGTTTTGTTAATCGACAGGTTTTTCTGACATTTCTTTATATTGTTCTTTTGGGTAATTATTTTGGGATTATTTTTTATTTTTGGTATCAATGCTCTCAGAGAGAGGCTCGAGGTTAACAAACATGTGTTATGTTCTTATCCCCCTTTTTCTCCATGTTCTTTTCCTTACTTTTTAGTCCGTCAATGACATTTATGCATATTAGCATGTTAGTTCTAATTTTTGTGCATTTGTAATGTAAAAATTCATTTCCTTGGTAGAAAAAAAAATCAAAGTAAATATAGGGATTAATGCCTATGCCTTCATTTTTACTTAAAAGGTCAGCACGGCTCACACCTCTTCAGAAGCATTATGTCTCTTCAAGTTCATAAGCCCTACTTCGTGTGTTTTTCTTTATTTCTATACATGCATGATTTTGCCTGTTCATATGTTTTGATTACCTTCTGGGCTTGGAGATTAGACACAAAGAAGATAGGTTTATCAAAGATAAGATTATCGCATCATAATATCAGTAAGACTCTGAGACTATAAGGTCAAGGGGTTTTATATAAAAGTCACAATTACATATAGTGTGTGTGTTCATATACTTGTCCCGATGAGTGGATGAATGTTGATTTGTTTATGGCTTTTTAATTTTCACTATTCATCATCAAGTGTTAATACCGTCCCAACCTTTTTACCCTCTAATTTTTTCTTTTCTTCTATTTTCTCTAGCTAATACTTTCTGATTGTGAGCCTGGTGTATCTCTTCCTCTCCCGTCCGTGGACATGTATTATGTATAGTTCCTATTTTTATTTTGTTTTTCTGTTTAGGCAAGAAAGAAATGCCGTTGAAGCATGTTCTGTGTCCTTGGTCTCTTTGCTTCTGAAATTTTGTGTAATCCTTTTCTTAAATGAGTTCCCTTTTTCAAGCTCTTTTTAACTCTTTCTTTTCAACCTTTTCTCAATTTATATTATGGGTGATTGATGGAATTTTTAAATTGCAGGAAGATGCAGTCATGAAAATGGAAGTAAAATTTATAATTTTATGGAGTAATTGTAGGAGGGAGAGCGCAAAGGGGATGAAATAATAGCTGAAGTAAGAGGACAGAGGAAAAACAAGAGGGAAAAGGAAAATACGGAGGAAATTGATGTGAAGTAAAAGATTGTTCGTAATAGGAGATTATTTGGACATCAGAGGATGGGAAATTGACAGAGGGATTAAGGGAAAAAAGAAATAAGAGAAGTAAAAAAGAAAAAACTGAAAAAAAATCATATCTTATGGGCAGAACACAGATCTGTGTTGCCACTTTTTTCCCTTTGTATTTTGTTCCTTTAACTTTTATTATTTTTTAATTTGAATACATAAAAATTTTAGAAAAATAATATTCTTGTACTATTTAATGAAATAAATAAATCAAATACTTCTATTAAACATATACTCAACTACAAGATTTATGTATTATAATCACTTGTGCACATTATATCAAATAATAAAAATCTTCAAACATTTTTTTCATTTTCAAATGTAAGATATTTTTATCAATATTTAGCATAGAGATTTCGCATGCACACTAATAGTAATGTTAGTTTACAGTTGCAACTTCATAAATATTTAAATTAATATTTTTATGCATATATATGGAATTCTTTTATCTCACATGAGATGACAAAATCTATATAAAAGAATTTCTAAATTGAGTAATACACCGCTCGAAGCGCGGACAAGTTAACTAGTGATAATATATAAGTAGAAAACAGTTGGGAACCAGCAGATATAAGATGTGTCTATTTAAATTACTTTTGCTATTTATGAGGCAATTTTCCCAAGTCCTCAGATTCCAGCTACAAGAGCCTAAGAGAGGCAAAGAAACATGAAATTCTCTTATATATGAGATCATGTCAAATCTTCTTGCAACAGCATATGTAACAAGGTAGAATCTAGCGCTAGTGATTCAGTCCCCAGTCATAAGGCTGGTACACCACCTTCAACTGACTGTTGGCGAGCAACTCCAGTAAAGCTTGAGATTCCGATGACTCCAAGTAATTTGCAGCGTGTTTCAATACTTCAACCTCATTCTTTCCAAAATCAACACTAAACCTGAGCATTATCAAATGAAAATATCACTTCTTAGTATTGTGTTATTGAAACTTTATGAAAGTTGCATCATGAGAGATCCACTACTCTGCATGCAATATTCATGCCCAAACCATTGCATAGATTTGATGTCGTCGATGCAAAGTACACACCCTTGAGGTTCTACTGGTAATTAGAGATGAATTAACAACTTACCATCTCAAGATTTTACTAACATATGCAACCTTGGTTGTAAGATCAACAATTAGTCCTCCAAATCTTAAGAAATCATGGGCAGCTTCCACGAGCTCTTTATCTATGTTTCCAGGTGAATAGCATCGAAGAGCAGGCCCAGATCGCGTACCACTAACCAGAGCAAAATGAATAAGAGGCTCTGGATAAGGAAGAACTACCTGAATGAAAGTCAGAGGTGGGCATGAGGGATTAGACAGATAATGGATCAAGAGATATTATATTATTGAAATGATTTCCAAATACAACCGCGTAGGTCAACACAAAACCACTAATTAATGGAGCTCCAATTTCTCAATAAGCATTTTTGTTTACTGAGAAAGGTAGAAATTAAAAGATATGCCTTCTCCCTTTTATGCAATTTTAAAGGGTCAAAT